GAACGAGTGGAAGGGAATGAAACAGGAGAGAGTCTAAGTGTTGAATAAGGAGGTATTGGTCATTTGGGACAAGGTCACAGACTCTAGAGAAAAGGGAAATGGTGGGGAGGCCAGGTGTAACTAGATGAAGGTAAGAGTAGGCTGCAACTAGGAGGTGGAGAAATATATTTAGATCAAATAATGATATTAAACATAGGAGGGGCAAGGGGCAGGTAGTTATTTATATGAATGGTCTGTAGTTTGCTCCAACCGGTTATTAAGTATGTACAACAATTTTATAGATACAGGGACTTGTAACAACTGTTGAGTGGAGATGTGCAATTATAAAACCTTTAAAATACAGAAAAAATATATGGGGGGGAGTGAAACTGTTTTGCATATAGTGCAGAGATAGAATCTTATAGTGCCGTATTTGTACATATGAGAGTAGATGTAGATAAGGAAACAGAGGAACATATGGAAAACAAATGGAGAGCATAACCACTTTGACTTTGTGCATCTTTCAGCTTTTTAGAATTTCAATGAAATTCCAACACAATATGTTGGTGGCTGCCATCCATCATTATGATAAACCCAGAAGTTGATTTTTAATTTACTGAATTCTCACTTAAGTGAATAACACTGACAGTGCTTCTGTTGTTTTTTTTGGCAAAATATGACCGCTTCAAACTCTTTTAATGTTTCTTTCTCTTCTCATCCAGACTCACATGGGATGTATTCGCATACTGTCAATATATCAGGCTTGCTTGTGATGCATGCTCCATGTTTGTTCACACAAGAAAGATTAAAATAAAGTTAGCTATTATAATACTGATATGAGTTCTAAACAAATACTGTACTTAAAAGTGAATCCTTATGAGTCAATTGTGTTGTGTAGGTTTTACTTTGGAAAAGCTGTGTAAACATTATCTGAATTCTAGGCCTCTGGAAATAAAATGTCATATGAATATTTGTGTGTGGTCCACAATGAATATAAATTTGTTTAAAGTGTGTACTCCTATTCTTTGTGGGCCCTGAAAATTTTCAGTTAATGAGATTTGGATTCCTGTTTTAGCAACGTCACTTGATCAGTCTGTACCTCTGAACTCTAGGTTGCTAATCGTTTGAATTTATGTAATTCCTTGCTATTTGAGTCTCTATGTTTGAATTATCGTTAACATAATTCCCATTAAAGTTTTGATATTGTACATTATTATTATTATTATTATTGCCATTTATATAGCGCCAACAGATTCCGTAGCGCTTTACAATATTTTGAGAGGGGGGATCTAACAAAAAATAGGACAATTACAAGAAAACTTACAGGAACAATAGGTTGAAATGGACCCTGCTCAAACGAGTTTACAGACTATAGGAGGTGGGGTATTAGAAACATTAGGACAAGAAATATCAAGTAGGAGTGAAGCAGAGCTGGAGGAGAGAGCAAAGCACTGTCCCATAGGAGAGAGCAGGAGACAGGTATGTAAGGTAGAGATTACTCTGGGAGGCCATAAGCTTTCCTGAAGAGATGGGTTTTAAGGCCCTTCTTAAATGATTGAAGACTAGGGGAGAGTCTGATGGCAGTAGGCAAGCTATTCCATAGGAGAGGAGCCGCCCGCGAGAGGTCCTGCAAGCGCGAGTTGGCCGTACGGGTGCGAGCAGCGGTCAGGAGGTGGTCACGGGCAGAGCGGAGGGTACGAGGAGGGGCATATCTATGGATTAGTGAAGAGATATAAGTGGGGCTAGAATTGTTCAGTGCTTTAAATGTATGGGTTAGCACTTTGAATTGACTCCTATAGCATACAGGGAGCCAATGTAAGGACTGGCAGAGGGGTGAGGTGTGAGAGGACCGACTAGAGAGGAAAATCAGTCTAGCTGCAGCATTCATTACAGACTGTAGCGGGCAATACGGCTTTTGGGGAGACCAATCAGGAGAGGGTTACAGTAATCCATGCGGGAAATTACTAGAGCATGGACAATCTCCTTGGTAGCATCTTGCGTAAGGAAGGGGCGAATGCGGGCTATGTTTTTGAGTTGGAACCTACAGGACTTGGCAACAAACTGGATGTGAGACTCAAAGGTGAGACCAGAGTCAAGTATGACGCCAAGACAGCGTGCTTGCAGGGATGGACTTATGTGGATATCACTGACTTGAAGGGAGAGCGAGAGAGGAGGATCAGTATTAGGAGGAGGAAAGACAAGGAGTTCAGTTTTAGAGAGGTTAAGTTTCAGAAAGCGTGAGGACATCCAGTCAGAGATGGAAGAAAGGCAAGCAGTGACACGTTGCAGGACAGCAGGGGAGAGGTCTGGGGAGGAGAGGTATATCTGAGTGTCATCAGCGTACAGGTGGTAGTGGAATCCAAAAGAGGCAATAAGTTTACCAAGAGAGGCAGTATAAAGAGAAAATAGAAGGGGACCAAGGACAGACCCTTGGGGAACTCCAACCGAGACAGGACGAGGGGAGGAGGTATCCTTGGAAAAGGAGACACTGAATGAGCGTTGGGAGAGATAGGAGGAAAACCAAGAGAGGGCAGAGTCACAGAGAGGAGCGCATGATCAATGGTGTCAAAGGCAGCAGAGAGGTCAAGGAGAATTAACATGGAGTAGTGATCTTTGGATTTAGCGGAGATTAGGTCATTAGTCACTTTGATAAGAGCAGTCTCAGTAGAGTGGAGAGGGCGGAAGCCAGACTGAAGAGGGTCAAGGAGAGAGTTGGAATTAAGGAAGTGAGACACACGGGTAAAGACAAGTCTTTCCAAAAGCTTTGATGAGAAAGGGAGCAGGGATATGGGACGATAGTTAGAAGGGGAGGATGGGTCAAGAGATGTTTTTTTCAGGATAGGTGGCATGTTTAAGGTCAGCAGGAACAGTGCCAGAAGAGAGAGAGCAGTTAAAGATGTGTGTTAGGGTAGGCACAAGACAAGGGGAGAGAGATCTGATGAGGTGAGATGGGACAGGATCGAGCGGGCAAGTGGTGGGGCGAGAGGAATGGAGAAGCGCAGCCACCTCTTGTTCAGTAGCCGGGTAGAAAGTCTGGAGGGTAGGGAAAGCATGATTTACATGTGGTTGAGAAAGAGAACAGCAAGGAGGGGAGCATTGTTTCCTTAGCTGTTCAATCTTGTTGGTAAAGTAGCATGCAAAGCTATCAGCTGTAAGGTTAGTTTGGGGGGTGGCCACAGCAGGGCGGAGAAGGGAATTAAAGGTGTCAAAGAGACGTCTGGGATTGCGGGAGCATGAACTAATGAGAGAGGAAAAGTATGACTGTTTGGCAAGGGCGAGGGCTGCGCTGTATGAAAGCAACATGAATCTATAATGGAGAAAGTCTGCCTGGGTGCGGGACTTCCTCCAGGAGCGTTCAGCACAATGGGAGCAACTCTGCAGATAGCGTGTTGATTTATTATGCCAAGGTTGGGGTCGTGTCCTCCTCGAGGTGCATGTTTTGAGTGGGGCTGCAGCGTTCAAGGCAGATGTGAGGGTAGTGTTATATGTGGAGATGGCCAGTGAGGGACAGGAGAGGGAAGGGATGGATAGCAGTTGTGAATCAATGTCAGCTGACAGCTGCTGGAGGTCAATAGAGTTAAGGTTCCTCCTGAGCTGAGGGGGGTTAGGCTGAGATTGTTGGGTGAGGGGGTAATTGAGAGCAAACGATAAGAGGTGGTGATCAGAGAGAGGAAATGGAGTGTTGCAGATATTAGATATTGTACATGAATAAGAGAAAATAAGGTCGAGGGTATTGCCAGCTACATGAGTGGGAGAATTAGCCCACTGCAAAAGTCCAAGGGAGGAAGTGATTGAAAGTAGTTTAGATGTAAAGGGTTTTTTTTTTTCATTACGCAGGGGTTAACAATCATTTGATAATGCCACAACAGCGTAGTCCAACGTGAAAATAGAAACAGGTTTTGAACATACATGGCATGGAAGTAACTGCACATTTTTTAAATATTTAAGCAAGCTTATATATGTGCTTTTACAGTTTTTATACAATAAATCTTTGTGTTACATAATGTGTCAATAGGTATGTTGGTATAAGTGTTAATGGAAACAAGCTAGGTAACTGACCTATTGTTAGCCATAATAGTAGATTATAACATGAGTAATGTAAAGAACACGTCAGTATTGAGTTAAGGGGAGACAGGAAATTTTCCATGCTGTGTTGACTGACAGTTCTGTTAATGATGTTACTACCAAGTACGAGATATTAGGAGACACACATGTGAGTATGGTTTTACATGAGACAGATTAGGTAAATTGGAGGGCAGTGGGCATACCAGGTAAAGCAGGGCTGTACATATTGTGGTGAGAGTGTACATGTTAAGAATGGCAATTGGAGAGCAGTATTACAAGGCCATTAACAGAACCAGTGTCCTCTCACATATAAATGTCACAGCTTATGCCCGTGGCAGTCAGGCCAGGTCCAGATCGCACCATAGGGGGGCATAAATCTTCAAGCTTGTCTCTCTGGCTCCTTGCGTCAGCTTGAGCTAGTGTTTCCCGCCCGGGGTCGGCAGGAGAGTCAGGGTCTCTATGGGTTGCATGTCTCGCTGCCGCCTGCCTCTCCGCTGCACAGAGGTGATTTCTTTGTGGTTTATGGGGCTCCCTTTTTGCATGACAGCGTGGGCCGCGTGTGGCACCATTCCACTTCGGGAGAGTCTTTGACCGCTGGGCTGCAGGAGGTGGGTGTAGCTTCAAGGCTGTGCTGCATTGCCTCTTCCTAATCTTTTGCCAAAAGGCTTTGAAGAGTAAGTCCAGTTTCATTAGGGTTGCTTCTGTCGCATCATACGACGGGGCAGCAATGTCGTCGGCCATTTTGTGTAAACGGCGTCGGAGCTGTTTGTGCGGTGTTCGCCTGGGTGAGTTTCGAGCACTATCTTGGTGGGGTCTGGGATAACTCCCACTGGACCACTGGGGGGGGGGGTACAGGGCTCTGGTAGCACCCTCGGCAAGCCCGGTCCGGTCCAGAGGATCGGCCGCCTCCTCCACCAGGCCCCAGGCTAGGCCTCGAGTGCTGTCCGCCGGCCGACGCAGGCCAAAACTAGATCTCGGTCTGCTGATTACTTGTAGAGATGCCCAGGAGTCTCTGGATGTTGGTTGTGCGCCTGGAGGGGCTATAAAGTCGTGAAATTGGGCTTTAATGTGAGTCTTGGTCAGGAGCCGATGTGAGTTGCGTCCGCTCGGCTTGGCAGTCAGGCCCCGCCCCCCTAAAGGGTTTTTTTAAGACAATCTTCATTTAGCAAGGTTTGCAAAAGCAGAATTGTACCACAGATTAAAAAAAAAAAAAAAGATAGGGAAATCAGGAAATCATTATACTGCAAATATAACTGTCTGAGATGTGATTCTAATGTGTTCCTTTCTCTGTGACACAATTACAATTGTTGCCCGCCTCTTCCTCTGTTGAGTTTGGAGCAGTGAAGCCTGAAAACACGTGTGTGGTGTGTTCCTCCATTATTGTCTGCACTTGCCTGGATATCCTACCATCGGAATGAGGATTGCAACAGGATATGGACCCAGAATGGATAATGGAAATCTATGGAGCTATATTGTCATGATCTCGAGCAGGTCAGATATGAGACTTTGGCCAGAGTTAACATTAGGTTCTTTATTGCTGAGTTAATACATAATAGAATAACAGGAAATCCTATAACTGAAATTATAGGAAGAAGGAAAATAAGAGAACCTATAAACGGAGTTATAGGCGAGAAGGTAAAATAATAGAAACAGAGGTTTAGGCAATATGCCCCAGACAAGTTATAAAACAGATAAAAACCACACAAATGGGTCAGCGCTTAGTAACAATGGGAAATAGACAACAAGGATATAAATAACTAATAGAAAATCTATAGATGAAAGTAAGATAGTTTAGAGAAACAAGTAAAATAAAACAGTACAGAAAGGTTTCAGCAATTACAGGTAAAGTAGACTTTAGTGAATCACTAAATCCCTGCTGAAAGGAGTTCTGATAACTTAGGGGAAAAAAAACACCATGCAATATTAGTTAGTAACAAAGTCCAGGTTGGTGTTATGCAGGTTGGTATAGAGCAGGTCGGTTATGAGGATCAGGTAGGTATAAAGCAGGATGGCAGGAAAAAGCAGGTTAGTAGTATAAAGCAGGTAACATAAATCAGATTGGTTGCGTTGTTCAGACTGGTATGAATCAGGTTGGAAATAAAGCTGGATTGTTGAGTAGTTCAGGCAATATGGAGCTGGTTGGTATCAAAAGGAAGATAACAAAGAAGGTATGTCCATCACTATAATTACAGGAGCAAGGATCTGAAGTCCTTCAGGCAAACCAACAACTTCAATGTAATGGCCCTGTCTTGAGCAGGGTGTAGCCTTTTGTAGGAATGTCATTAGTTCGGGCAGGTGAGGATGATGAAGGAGAGTTCAGAGTTAGTGGTTATGGAGACCACTAGTGGTGGAGAGCAGGTATTGTAGTAACATAAAGAAGAAATAAAACATAAACTTGTCGGGATAGGATCTTGACATATATTTTGATAAATATGAGAAAAACTATGAGTTATGGGATACAATGGGATACAATATGAGTTATGGGATTTCTTAATTGCTGAACCTTAAGAAAGCAATCCTAAATGACACTCTTGAGAGAACATACAAAGGAGTCAATTCAATAAATGGCCAATGTTTATGAAACAGAACAAATGTTTTAAGGCAAAGCAATAAGAAGCAGTCTAAGAGCTGTTAAATTTTCTGCCAATCAAATATTGACAGCTATTAACTAGCAGCATGGAAAAAGCATATAACACATCATTAATCCTAAATTTATCTAGGGGGCATTGCTAGGTGGGGTTTTCTTAGAATAGGAGAAGAGGAAAGAACAAAGATGATCATGTACTAAGACTACGTATGTGATGTCCTTGTATGGACATATGCGAAATTACATATGCAATGTCCTTGCAATGTACAAGGCTGTGAGTCTTATGATTCTGCTAAATAGAAATGAACTACCGGTATTTCAATCCCTCCTTTTATTCTGAAAGAATAACTAGACACAAGCATACAAAATCAGTAGAGGTCGGTAGGTGGAAATAGGGTCATCAGGATAGGACCGATAGAGGTCAACACATCTAGGAGCACAGCTTCATACTGTGCTAGTCTAACAGGGGTTAACATTTGTCCACTCCTCCATTTACCAGATCACATACTGTATGGTTAGCAATTACTTATAGAGACTGTACGAGGGTAGCATCTCATATATTATTAAAAAAACACAAAAAGAATTCAGCGCTAGTAATCACAAAATTAGTCAAGGTAGGCAGCAACCCAAATGAAGGAAAACCCCTCGGGTCCTTCGGTGGATAGATACAAAAAGATATGGAAGGGCTGCGCCAAATAAGGGTAGATAGTCCAGTAAAGTATTGCTAGGGTGCCAATAGATGGTCTAGGATACTTGATAGAGTTCCTCTGTGGATGCGTCTGGTGTAGACCGTTCCGTATATGTAAATACAAGAGAGGTAGAGGCAACTAATGGTATAGTATGAAAGTTCAGGGTGTGATAGGTAACAAAAAGTAAAGAACTCACATTCAAGAGAGCTATGGCCAGCTCTGGTGTGGATTGCGTACAGCGGTATAATCCCCGCTTATGGGATATGTAGGGAGGGGGTCTCCGTCAACACCGTCTGGTAGTCCAGAACTCGGAAAAGAAAGACAGAAAGCAACAATAGTGCTCTCAATTTTGATGTGGTTCAATGTGCAGATAAGAAGAGGTAAAAAACTCACATTTGAGGGAGCTATGGCCAGCTCTGGTGTGGATAGCGTACAGCGGTATAATCCCCGCTTATAGGATATGTAGCGGCGATACGTCCGTCAGCACCGTCTGGTGATCCAAGGCTCCAATATAGAAGAATAAAAAGCAGCAATAGTGCTCTCAATTGTGATAGGTTAAGAGAGTAGTAGAGAAAATAAAATAATACTCACAAAGATAGAGCAGAGGTACTGCTCTATGGATAGGCGCCGGTGGTATGATCCCCACCTAGGATTTCTTGGAGTACTGGAACTTTAAAATTGCCAGTGGAAGTAAAAGTAACCAGGAAAGGTTAAAATGCCAGGAATAGGTAAAAAAAAAGTTGTTTAAAGTGCATAAAGAGTGCAATAAAAAGAGGATTGGTACAATAAAGTAGCCAAAAAACTTTTATTGATCTAAAATACACAGTAAAATACAGAATTAATAACCATAAACGCGTTTCACCATAAGTGGCTTCTTTAGAAGAAGCCACTTATGGTGAAACGCGTTTATGGTTATTAATACTTTACTGGACTATCTACCCTTATTTGGCGCAGCCCTTCCATATCTTTTTGTCTCATATATTATTGACTGCCAAAGCTATTACACATGCTGGCAACCCTTTAACCACTGACGTTGCTTGGTGCTTGGAGAATTTGCTGCTGGTATGTTAGTGTACCCTTGTACATATGTTAGTGTCTCCGCAAAACTGAGTACGTTTTTTTCATGCACACAAAGTCTACAGGCCTTGTTGTAATCCACCACAACAGATGCATTCTGTAGGGGAGCTTTTAACTCTTGAAAGTGTAGCTTTACTTTTCCCATTGCATTGTGTTAGATATTCATAAAGTCTTTTTGAGAAATGCCTGTCTCTCAAAAAAAGTTGCAGTTATTTCTTTGCCAGCGGAATTTTACAGACAGCATCCATCATTTCTGGAGTGAGTTGGCAAAGTCCTTGACATAAAACATATCCCACAAATTCCACTTGTGGCTGGGCAATATAGCCCATTTTCTTGAACACTTTTATTGCCACACTGGCATAGAAGTTACAGCAGTTAAACACTTTATTCATTATTTTCTTGTCCGATAGGTTTGGTAACCCATAAGTAATCCATATACTGGACCAGCACAGTGGCAGTAGTGTGAGTACAGAGTGCTCTGCTCATGTTTCCACCAAAAATAGATACAGTCTCTGTGTATCCGTGAGGCAGCCTGGGCCAGGTAAGCTGGCACTTCTGTGTCTGTTCTATATTTACTTGTTTAACCCCTTAAGGACACATGACATGTGTGACATGTCATGATTCCCTTTTATTCCAGAAGTTTGGTCCTTAAGGAGTTAAAGGCAAATAACAATTGGATTTCCATAGCCACTAGGATACAAAATAAAGTGTTTTAAGTCCATTGTAGTCTGCATGCAGCTTAAAGGTGTAGTTCATTTGAAAAGTAGCAGACACCCCTAAGTAATATAAGTCTGTATCACAGACTGTAACTGTAATTCTTTGTAAGCCTCCAGCCTCTGAGACTATTATAAGGCTGGGCTGATTATTTCAATATAATAGCCACAGGTATGACATTTCTGGGTTATCGGGTTTTGCCAGTTGCCCAAGTATTAGGAGAAACATTGGAGAGAATCACCTTAAGTGCTTGCTGGTCACTCATAGGCAGCATGGGATCAGTGGGCAAATTAACCTTGACATGATCACCTGAAAGCTATATCACATAAAGATTTAGATCACATATTTATTCTTAGACAGTTCAAAATCATTATTCTTAGACAGTGCAAATTTATGTTTTTTTGGTTTTTGTTCTCACAACTTAATTTCATAGTGTCAGCAAACTAAGCAATACACTTTACAAGTTACAAAATGTTTCATCTTGGAACACTCTGTTATATGAGAGAGGCATTTATTCTATATGATGAGTCTATAAATCACTTAAAGTCTGCACATCCCCCCATGTATGTTTAAATGATTAAAGAATCATGTAAAATAAAACAGTTATTCTATCAGGGTCCTTGGTTATTAGATTTGCAATTTATCAGGTCAAGGGTTGAGAATGGGACATAACGTTATCTACTAATAACAACATCATTTCTATCCGGCATCAAAGTCTCTCGGAGGCACATCATCTTGGCCCTTATCCTGCTTAGTGCAAGTTGAGGATTGTTTATTTCTCAACTCATTTTTGATCATTCCTGTGCTGTTAGCATTTAAATCCTTCAACAACCATTTCGGAGAGAGAGATAACCTTGCAGAGCCGACAAAAAGGGAATCAAAATGGTTTATTTTCAAATATTTGTTTTGCAACCAATGTATAATTATTAATTGAAAACAAAATGCTAAAATTATCAATTAAAACTCTTACCTAATCCAGGATAGTACTGAAACTATTTAACGTTACACTAAAATCACAGTGGAAATCTTCTTATATTCTACAGTCTAAAATCAGTTTGTAATTATA